TCCCAGAGCGAATTGCCAAAAGTTTAGAAGTAGCTTAGTCCCAAATTGTCATTTGCGTTTACTGAAGCTTTAGCGCTACAGCCTTATCCTGAATGCTCACTTGCTTGAGTCCTTAGTTTGATTTCAGTCTTTTAAAACTTTTGATATCTGCTGCATGTTTAAAAGTTGTTTTATAGTATTTGCTTGATTCATTTTTTGGATTGTGAACATATTGAAATCTTTTATCTGTACATTTAGCTTGAAAAGCTTTTTTATTATAATTTTTTAATTAACTCTTGACGTGTCATAAACTCTCATGGTCAAAGAAAAGAATGGTTTTTTTTTGCTTTGTTACGTTTTTTGTTTTTTTTGTTTTTGATGACTAGATCTTGGAAATTCACTGCTCATTAGGTTTTGCTCTTTTTATTTATTAGTCTGTGTACCAGTGTTAGATTTTTTTCTTTTATTTTTTTGGGTTGTTTGCTGTTTTCCTGATGTCTTTGAATATATGAACGGAATATTTTTTGTGTTTTTTGTATCCTCACTTTTAATAAAAATCGTGCCATCGACTTATTCTTTCTCTTATTTTACATAATTGTAAACTACTGGACTCGTCTTTTATTTGGTTACAGTTTCACTTGTACACGTGTCAGTTTACTATTACACTGTTATTTGGTGCTGATTGAGGTAACGTTGTTTAATGTACAGCTGGTCTGCAGGATTAATCACATAAGTTTGGGTTTTTTCATGCGATCGGCATGTGGCGAAAAATGAAATGGCTTTGTCATATCTGGTCCTGTACAAAGCCAAACGGTTTTTACGTTTGTGCCATAATTTAGACACTGTTTTCTGAAGTTTGAAGGAGGTGTTGTTGTCGGTTGGTCGTCTGCTAGTGCTCCAAAAAAAAGTAGTGGGAAGGTTGAAAAGAACAGGTCACTTGGTGACTTCGACGTTGGTTTTTGTAGAAGAAAGCGATATGGGGTGCTTGTTTTTAAGTCAATTTTGATAATGACCTCACCGTCAGTGGTCGGTGGTTTCTTCTTCAGTCAACTGTTTAACGTCTCTGGTATTTTTTGTCTGTAAGATTTCTCTTATTTTGTGCTTTTTCTTTTTACCTGAGACATTCTGTAGGTATTGTTGAAGGACAGTAACGATTTTTTCTCTTGTGAACGTGTTGCTTAAGATCTGAGGTTGGGAAGTATGAAATATCTGTTTCAGACGCAATTTTTTCTGGAAGTTTTTCAAACAATTATGTTTGTTAATTTGGGTCTACACCTTGCATTGTACCGTTTTTTTAGCTCTCGAGAACACAAGCTTTCTGAGCTTTGTGCTTGACATTTACATTTCTTTGTTTTTAATAGAATTTTATGTGGATGGGAGAATATCGAAGATATAATCGGTGCTTTTGTAAGGGTCAATACTCATTTAAACAGAGTTTTCTGAGCGGAAAGATTTTGTGTGGAAGGCGCAAAGATCTTTAGAATAGAGATAGAATTTTACTGAGGGTGTTTTGGTAGGTCGATGGACATTGCGTTATAGTCGAAAAAATCCTGATATATGGATCCGGACCATTAAAAATACTTTAAAGTGGATGACAGTGTGTCCACCTGTAATAAATTATGGTCAGCAATCGATGGCTTGCGGAAAACTACAATTGATTGATCTCAGGTGAAAAAGTAAAAGCTGAAGAGTACAGTTCAGAGCGGGCAATGCTTGAAGAATGGTCTTTTAGCCAAAAGTGGAAGATTTGACAGATTTGGTATTATTACAAGATAGTACCAGGTTGCACGTTTTGAGAATTACAATATATAGTCTAAGAAAGGCTAAGTTATCTACTTTGTTCGTCGGACCTATTTCTTTTGTAGATTTTTATTTTTCCAAAGGTCTTCTGTTTCTCCTGAACATAGGGGCATTTTGTAGTGAAGGAGCATGAAGTATTTCTAAAAGCATTATTAGTTTTGAAGTTTTTGAATTTGCTGGTGTTGCAAAGAATGATCGTTGTTGAAGAGGCTTTGCAGGTTTCAGTGATGACCATTTTAGACACTATAATTGAGAGCATAGATGATGCTATTTGAAATTTCATTTGCGTCATCAAAGTTTCAAAATTCCTATTCAGGCAATCAGTATAATTTGAAGTCAAATCGTTAGATTGGTATTTGTAGTTTGAGAGTTTATGCTTCGATGTTATGTTACCTGTACGTTATGGTAAATTTAATGTTTATGAAATGTGTTTATGCATTGATTTGAACGGCCTTAACCTGGCAATTGTTTGTCGTTTTTTTTCTTCGTTTATTTTTTTTCTAACGTTTTATTCTGTTTTATCATTTGTTATTTGCAGGTTATAAAAGCTAACAAAAGGAGAGCAAAAAAAAAATTAAAAAAAAAGGAAAGAAAGAAAATAAATGAAAAAAATAATATATGTAATTAATTGCGACAGCAACGGACAATTGAACAAATCGCGCAGTCGTCTATATGTATGAAAAAATGCTTTATTGATACACTTAAGCTTATTGAAACTTTCCAAGACTTTTCTTTCAAATTTTTATTTCTTGTTTCAAAACCGGATTGATATTGCCGGCTTTTGAACAAAGTTGTTGTTCTTGTCATCGTTGTTGCCATTGCAGTTGTTCTCATCACAGTCATCATCACTATCATCGCCCCTATCGTTATGAGCTTTGCTGTCCGAAAAAAGAATGAGTAAATGAATGCAACAAAAACTCAACTTTTTGCGATTTGCTTTCTTTATTTTTACGAAATTTTAGAAAGAGAGAATGAAACAAACAAACAAAAAAAAAAAGGTGCTGGAAGGAGAAATAATTTTTACCTTTTTTTTAAAGTTGTGAAACTTATTTAACAATTTTTTTTTTATTTTGCCTGTCATTAATACCGTTATTTCTTTTTTTGAAGTCATAAGGACGACTGAATGGAATAAGATTACGGGTACGACAGTTCAAAGCTATGTATACAGAGTTATACTTCTTAAGTTAGCTTAGAAATTGTGCCGATTTTGACGTGACGATCAATTGCTGTCACCGTTGTTTTCCGTTGATGGTACAGCGCTAATTGGACTGTTTTGGTCGGTTGTTTATTGTATTCACTGACCTGAGGTCTTTTTGAAATAGTTTAAGACAGCAAATTTTTGATATTTTGTACATTTTTATAGGTGCATTTTGGTTGTATTTAGTTGACATTGAGCAAACACCAAAATGGAAATGTTAAGTTGTATTGTTTTATTTCATAATGAAGTGCAGATAATTACCTTCTGGAAACTTGTTATTACTTTTTATAATTACTTTACGAAGGCTAGTTTTTTTTCTTTTTGAATTAAGAACGCTTAACGGAGTAGACAAAGAAAAAAAAAAAGGAGAAAAAGAAGCATCAAAAGGGATCGATCTGTTAATGGCGACAACCATCAAACTTTTTTTTCGATTTTGCCAACGTGTTTTGAGCACAATTTTTTCGTTTTTTTTTTTTATTCCTTGTTGATTTATCTCTGTTTAGGCTTATTATTGATTTGTAGAACTTGAAAGACGTTACGACAATTCTCTTTTTATTTTTTTTCTCTTTTTTTCATTTTTTCTTCCTAGTTTTTTTCCCTGTTTCAAATTGTTATTGGCATGGTAACCTTTAGACTTGAAAAGAGCAGAAATTAGTGGACATCATTTAAAATCACACAGATGTTATACATAAGCAAATCAATGCAAGCCAAAAAAGGAAAAAAAAGCTTTAAATTGAAGATGGGTGATGATGAATGTGACGGAACATATCGGATTGTTGATAAAAAATTACTTTTTTGCTAGTTGCATGAATTTTTTCTGTTTATTTCACAAACCTTTAACAGTTTCATTTTGTGTTGTCGTTTATTCTGTTGGCTATTCAGCGGCAAACAAAGAAAAGGAAATTTTATGAAAGCAAAAGAAAAAAGAGAAGAGTTGACAACAGTAGTAGAAAAATAAAATATTAAAATTTCATTAGACGATATGGTAATTGAAAAAAGAAATTTAAAAAATTAATGCATTAAGGTTTTTTTTGCATAATATAATTTTTAATTTTTTGCTCATTGTCTCTCTTTCTTTACAGAATTTTTTTTGTTTATCGAAAATAATAGTTGCTAATGTCGGTATAGTTGTTTATACAAAAATTTAAAACTATATTTGGTATTATAGGTGTCGACTGAAGAGGAGGAGGAG